CTTGCAACACGGCTGGTGCGTCGTGTTCTCGTCTCTGTCTCGATCGTTTTTTTTTTTTTTCATCGAACAATAATAAACGTGTACAGCACTGTTGCAAATTTCATCTCTCTTCACTTTTATTACGCCGGTTTCTCAAGCTTTTGTTTTGCCGCGTCAAGATAATTTCAAGGTTTCTTCTTCTCGAATAACTCTGGAAGCATTGTCAATATTTCGAGAGCTAAGTACGACGCAGCGAAACCGACAGAAAAAAAAGAGAAACCAGAAACGAGGCAAGATAGAAAGATCAGATATACTTGTGTGACAGCCTCTGCATTTGACAAACAATGTCGCGAAGAACGACAGACGAATTTCTAAATTAATCACGTAATATGACAAGTAATGATTACAAGCATATACAAAACGCACGTGAGCAACGTACGATACTTCCTAATCAACAGTTTTGTCGATCTTTTCCGCCCCAGGTCCTCGATGTCAATCGTTCAAATCGAGTTTCAACGAACACTCCGTGCGTCAGATTCGATGAAAAGAATTACTCGTCGTCGAAAAGTCAAAGGAAACTAAACCGAGGTTTCTAGAAAAATGTTTCCCATAAACTCGACGTCGCGGTTCTCCAACGATCTCGTTGCATCTTTCATCATTTCTACAGTCATCGCGTCAAACCAGCGTCACGCCAGTCGTTTTCTCGACTCGTGAGAGACTCGTCCCGATCAACGGGTGTGAAAAGTTAGTATCAAGAGCGAAACAAACTCCGAAGTGAAACGGGACGACTTCTCGATTTCCTCTCGCTCGAAGTTAGCATGAGCAATCGGGAGAAAAATCGATTTCGCCGAGTACTCGCTCTCTTCCCTTACCTCTCCCACCTTGTACTTTACGAACCACCGACACCTGATTTCTTCTCGTCGTCGTTAATCTTTTCTTACAAACAAATTAGCAAGCTCGATCTCATGAATCTCGCAACATCGATGATAAGACGACACTCGACTGGTGTTGGCTGGTTTCGAACGATTATCGACGGAGGAATGGATCGAATGGCGACTGGAAGGATGATGGTGTCCCATTGAACGTCGACAGCGTGTACGTACATTCTTCGACGATCAAGCCGCTCGAGCAAGAATGGAAAGTTAACACACCTTAGTTCGGTGAATTCCGTCCGCGTGGGAAGCGCTGTTACCGTGCAATTAAACGCCGCTCCGGACTGCAACGCGGCCGGCTCTCGATTCTCCGCGATATCGGCGAGTCTCGAAGGTGTTCGTTGCTTCAAAATGTTGAAGTCGAGTCGAACTAACGAGCAAAGCGATTATCCTTATGTACAAGGATTGTATTATATTATATATAAGAGTTATACCGATAATACATGTACATATACAGGGTGTTTCGTAATTTGTGGCACTCACTTCGGGAGCTGATTGTACGCCTAAAAATAATGAAAAAAAAGTCATATAAATATCCTTTCTGTCTTCGTTTATGAGATATGAATTTTATAAACAGAGCAAACTCTAGTAAGCTAGTTTCACCAGGGATGGTACGTTCAATTTTCATAATAATCATAATTGGGATGAAGAAAAACACACATGTTACTGTCCATTCAAGACATCAACACCAGTTTAGTTTAAACGTATGGGCAGGAATAATTGATAAATTTTTAATTGGACCTTTTTCTCTTGATGGGAAACTAACAGGCACAAAGTACAACGTTGATCTTTTGAGCAAGCGTTTACACGAAATATAATAGAGGAAGTTCCAGTCGATATTAGACTTCGTATGCGGTTTATGCATGATGGAGCCGAGGTTAGGCTAATTTTTAAATCAACGCTTTGCAAATAAATGGATTGGTCGTGGAGGTCCTATTGCATGGTCTGCTCGTTCTCCGGATTTCAATCCATTAGATTTTCATTTGTGGGGACATTTATAATCTATTATTATAATCTATACGCAACATCGATTGAAAATGATGAAATACTACGAAATGGAACAGAGCAAGGCTTCCGACAAATTCGAGAAACACCAGGAATGATAGAGTAACCAGATCAATGACAAGACGCGTGCAGGTTTGTCTTCAAATGCAATCTTTTGTAAAAGTAATTAAAACAGAAAATTTATTATACCTCATAAACGAAGACAGATAGGACATATATTTATGTGACTCTTTTTCATTATTTTCAGGCGTACAATCAGCTCCCGAAGTGGGTCCCACAACTTACGAAACACCCTGTATATATACACGTTAAACCAGTGTTTGTTACAGTGAAAAAGAAAAGAAAAATACCCGAATTTTTCTTCGTCCGATATCCGAGCTCGCGTGTGCATGAAAGAGCAGAGCAACACCTGGCACATCATCTCGCGCACGTTTATCGCTTTGTTATCTCCCGTTTCCTCGCGTGACAATATTTAATTGAACTCGCACGACTAGATAATACTGAGAATAAAACAGAAGAAGATTAAAAAAGAAATGAAGACAAAAATGGGTAATGACGGCCGAGAACTTACGTGTATAACAAATACCGTATACGTATGTACTCCGTATATAATTTCCCCCCCCCCCCCCCCCCCCCCCAAATTCACCGATCACCGTTCCGTTCTGTACCGTACTACGCTCTCTGTTCTCTTCACCTCGCGCGTATGCCCCCCACGCAATTGTCCTTTTTCCGTCTGCCCGCATTCTCGTCGTCCCCCTGAAGCATGCACCCATGCTCATACACGACACGTGCACTTACGCACAGAATCACGTACATGAAGATGCAACCGTTTCATTCTTGCGGGCTTCTCTCGCTCTCGTACCGCTCTCTCTGAAGCCTCTGTCCTCACTGAGGCAGTAATCAAGCTGATTTTCAGCAGAGTTACAGTAGTGTCCGAGAGCGGGGATATGTATTCGGCGAATTATACGACAAGGTGGCGTAGAGATAATTTTCTACGAATTGGTGGGCATTATTGTACTTGTCGAACGCGTCGTCCCCTGTGGAATAACGAGCGCCGATGTGTTTGCTCACCACTCGAAATGGAAACACGTGGCGATCCATCGTTCAACGTTTAGTTTACTTCATTGCACTGTCGTCGCCGTCGAGATGCAATTTTATACGCAATGAAATGTTTGTTAACATATTGCTGCATTACTAGTACGTTTCTCGCGGATCGTTGGTAGTCGTAATAATATTTTTAACACATCGTTGGTCGCGGTGAGTTCTTCCTTTAAGCGAAACTGATACGAGACTGTATAGTAGTAATCTATCGCTTGTAGATTGTTTCGTCCTTTTACCGAAATTTCTGCAAATGTCTGCAAATCTAGCCAAGAAACTTTAGAGTCTACAAATGCATTGAAAGTTATATAAAGCGCGGAATTCTAGTGCTATGTGAAAGTGTCGCGGGTTAATAATAAAGTAATTTTCGAGATTCACTGTGCTCAGGGGGTTGAAATTAATTGACACTATCACCATTGTATTATTTTGCTTAAAATTAATATGTTTTACGTCGTTGATAATTTGGTTATTTAGCATTGTTTCGTGAACAAGAATAAAACAGTGGTTTATAAAATTATTATCTTTCTTTTTTTCTTCATAGTAAGAAATGATCGAGGAAACGGTTCACGACGAGGAATTAAAAAAGAAGAAATAAATATTCGCAATGTCAGTAATTGGCAATTACGAGTAGCGATTTTTCACTATCCTCTTTCGAAGATATCGAATCGCCAAGCCCGCTCGATGTTACAAGCTTCAACGTGTAACAAATACAAAAGCGTATACTACATCGTGCACCGAGCTGAAGGAAAACGCTCGGACAATGCTTCTTTTCAGAGTTTTCTTTCTTCGTCTCTCTCCCTTTCCTCTCATCATCCTTTCTCTCCTTCTTCCTTCCCATTATTTATTCCTTCTTTTCTTGATTCCTCGTACGCCCGTTTTTTCTTTCTCTCTTTTTTTTTTCTCATTTTTTTAACTTTATTTTTACCATGGGATACAAGCGACTGGAACCACGGTTTCGGGAAAAAAAAAAAAAAATAATCGAGTCGATATCGATACCAGTATTACTACGTCCTCTGAATCTTCTCAACGGCCTTCAAACATGCTGATCATCAAACATCTCTTTCACCCCCCCCCTCCCCTCCCCAACCCCTTTCTTTTCTGTCTGCGTTTCTACTACGAAAACTCCATATCTGTGAACTTGGCCAATGCGTAGCCACGAATAAATTAACCATAGAAAAAATTTCTTCTTTATACAAATGTAATATACAATATACATAGCTATAATCTAGGCGTGAGACGCGTGCAACTTGCACGCGCTTCGAACGAAATAACAGCAAGGAACGCGTGTACACGCGCGTACACGTGCTCGCATTCAATATACTTTTAATGGTACGTCTATTTGCTTTCACGCTTTCTCTCCTATCTTTCTTCTCTCTCTCTCTCTGTCTCACACACACACACACACTCTCTCTCTCTCTCTCTCTCTCTCTCTCTCTCTCTCTCTCTCTCTCTCTCTCTCTCGCTCGCACACTCTCACTCTTACGTTCGGCGCATTCTCTCTCTTTCTTTCGATCATGCTCGCAGTTACTTTCTGTGTGTGCGCGTACTATTTATATATTTTATCGTGTATAGACCTATCTATACGTAAGTGTAATATCTCTCTGCATTTAATACGCACGCTCGCGTAGTAGTACATAGTCATCTTTCTCGCCCTTTCATCGCCATTCGTTCTCACTGCGCTTTCTTCTTTAAATCCGCCAGCCAGGGCCTCGTTCCGTCTCTCTTCTCCATTGACTATCTTCACACTGCATCCTTTTTTTCTTCCTTCCTTCCTCCTTTCCCCTATTCTACTAAACTCATTCTCGCGTTCTTCTCCATTCGCACACGTTTCTTATACTCTCTCAAAACTCTCTCTCTCTCTCTCTCTCTCTCACGCTCGCTTCGCACTTTCGCGCGCGCATGGAAGAATAATAAATAAAACATTCGCGACGTCAGATGTACAAACTCGTCAGAATTTCTTCGATATCGGTTTTATTTTTTCCTTTCTCTCGACCTAAATGCAACTCTTGTACTTAATGCAATTTTTCATTTGCGCTCCGTCTCGATAAGAGCGTTGAAAGAAGAGCGCGCGGACGTACGTCTCTGCTCGCGGCGGTCACAAGAAAACGCGACGATCGTCCGCAACACGGTCGGATCGACGTGCACGATCCGAGAGAGTGGTCGATGATGGGTGCACCGAGCGCACGTCGCTTGCTTCCTGCGTTAGAGTTCCGGCGTGACCGGGTCGAGCAACCTCTTCTCCGGATCCCTCGAGTCCCCGATATCGCTAGCGATCGGATGATGCCTGTTCCCGGCGTTTCCGATCGTGTTCGGGTTGCATCTGCAGCCCTGAGCGGCGTGCCGCGCGTAACACACCTCGCACAACGCGACGCAGCCCTTGAATGGCCAATAGCACAATAAGCAAGGCATGACAAGGGTGAGCGCGCCGAGGCAGGCCCACCTGGAGGCTCTCCTGCTTCCTGTGCAGGAACACGGCTCGTCCGCGCAGTTACTGGCTGCCTCGCCGATACCGCTGCCACCGCCGCCGCCGCCGTTTCCGTCCACGCAATGATAAAACAGTCCTTTCACGCAGCACAGGCAAGAAGCGTAATCGAGAATCGTCTCGGCGGAGCAGAAGCACTTGTTGTTGCACAGCCACTTGCTGGGCAACGGTGGCGGCTCTCGGCAAGACTCGCAACGACATCGGCCGCAGAAATTGCACATTATCGACAAACCGGCCGGATCGTAAGTCCTCGAGGCGAGGCTGTTGGCCGGTTCCTTGGTGAACGAGACCGGCTGTTTGGTCACAGCGTTCGGTGCCACGGTGTTCGCCGGGATCGAGCCAGCGGACACGGTCGGATTCGTCCCACTGGCTATTAAACCACGAAACGCTTGAGTCCTGCTCGCGTGCAACCGATGCGTCGCTGCGACCGACGCGTCTGCAACAACAACACCACCAACACCACCACCACCACCACTACCCTTCTGACGATGCCTCCGGTCGATCTTCGGGCAATCGGCGCCGATACCGCGCTTCTGGTCATCGTCGATGACTCGTCGCTCCTGATTCGCCCCGTGTTTGAACGGCGCCTCGACGTATTCGTTGATGGCTCTCTCACCATCCGGCCGTGGCACCGTGAGGCTCACCTCGCTTATCGGGCTTCTCGGTGGTGTGTCGTTCGATAGCAGTCCGCGGCTGTTGGTCGTGGTCTCTGTTGAAGTGTCAATGTTTCTCGGTCTGCTGCGGAACGTGCTTGACAGAGGGCTGAGTGGAGCAGTGGTGACCAACACTCTCGACGGGCTCGACTGGTTCGCTGCGAGAGTCAAGGATGATGCAGCCGGCACGTGCACAGTGGGCAATCTCGGTGGAGGGAACGGCCGATTGTGATCGTGAACGCGACCACCACCGGTTACGTTGTGCTGCTGCTGCTGTTGAACGGAATGCTGCGCGTCTCCGTCGTCGGCGTTGACTACTCTACTGTTATCGTGGCTGGTCGTACTACTAGCGACGGTGGTATTATCGAGGTTGGTCGAGGCGTTCGTTGGCGAGGAGGGTGGCCGCGAGAGCGGCGCGATCGCATTGTTCTGCGACATCGGCCGACCTCTCAGTTCAAGATGCTCGGCTTGGCAACGCGCCGCTGCGTCCACGCAACGCTTCCGGTGCTCCTTCTTCTTCTTCGCCTCCAGCTCTTGTTCCTCCTGCCAGTGATTCGCGAAATGGATACCGTTACCGAACTCAGCGCCTCTTTCTGCTCCTGCTCTTCCGCCGCTTCCACCACTTCCACTTCCTCCTCCTCCTCCTCCTCCTCCTTCTCCTCCTTCTTCTCCTCTTTCGCCTCCGCCTCCCAGCCTAACGCGACTCGACGACGGGACGATCCTTCTCGACGATCCTGTTGTTGCCGGTCTCCTTGCTGTTTCTGGCGAGGGTGGTGATGTGGAACGACGAACCGACAAAGCCGACAACGCTGCCCGTTCGCTAGCCCATTGTTCGACGGCTCTCGGTGATCCTGGAGTTGGAGTAGCGCGCTGCTGATGCTGTTGCTGTTGATAATGAGCTGACTGACTCGGGGTAGTGAGTGTCGCCTCGTTGATCCGCACTGCCCAGCCCGCGCGAGGTGGTGACACTCTCGACAAGGGCGTTCCATTAGCGAGGATGAGGCTCGGTAAAACTCCGCGTCCGCTTCCTCTCGCCCTCGCGACACGCGCTTCATCCCCACCTGAAACCATCAAACATCCGTTACTCTCCCTCTTCACTCTCTCACTCGGCTTAATTTAATTTTTCTACTCTTTATAATTCAATTCTGTTGTAATTGTTGTTACTCTACTTTGTCGACAATTTTTATAAACTGCAATTTCTCTTCGTTGAGATTGGAAAAAGCAACGAAATTCCTATAAATTGTACAACTCGAATGTTACGTTGCAATTTCCGAGTAATCCAAGCTATTTTACTTCGCTTTGCCGATGCACATAAATTGCTACGAATTGTAATCGCTTGTTATTTCACGTTGAGATCCGGCATATACCTACTCTTCGCGTGCGCGTGTGTGTTACACTCGGTTACGAGCGTAAGGATCCACGTACACGAGGAGGGGATCCTTTCTGTGAGAACGAGAGATGGGATCTGAATGAACAAAGTCGAAAGCGATATTCGGATCACACCTCGACAGACACGAAGAATCCCCGTGTACGTGGTACGCTACCTACGTGGCTTCGAGGTAGGTTTGGCCTCGGTACGTGGGCGAGCGCGGCGCGAGTGGGCACCGTGGTTCTTGATTCAGTGGTCAACGGCCCACTCGAAGCGCCTACAGTTGTGGAAGAATCGAGTATTTTGCTCAGCCAAGACCGATCGTGCCCTCCACGCATCTGCATCGTGTGACAGGCTTACATCAACGAGCAGACGATTAATTATTTCTACGAGGAGTTCTCGGAGAGAAATTCAACCCTGGCGTACGTCATTGGGATTTGGACGATCAAAATTTAATTTTATTCTGCATCTATTTGTTCGATATTTACGCTTTCAGAAAGCGAAGTAAATTAAAAAGAACAAAAAAAAAAAAAGTATTTAAAATTAATTTAAATTAAATTACAAGTCAAGATTTCAATTTTTAATCAAGAACTACGGCGAGGGAAAGCGAAATTTTGATTGCCTCGGGCGTCGAACGAGATGAGAATGCCTCATTCGCGACGAAGGGCAGACGGAATAATTAGAAAGCAGGGTAGAATGCGCAGAAACCAGATGACATTAAATCTGACTCAGATAATTCTTTCGTTCGACTGTGCTCGACCCACTCTCGAGGAACCTGCGGAACTGGAAGAAACGACAATCGCCTAGCACAAGACCAATCCCGCATCCTACACGCATCCGCCGTGTAGGAATACATCGGTATCTCGCAACGAGGATTTTCAACTTCCTTTATACTTCCACTGTTCAGCAAGGCTGGCCCACAAATTGAAACGGAGAATTCGAAAATGTTACCTTAGCAATATATATATCTACTAGTAACAAATGACGTTTCAATTATTATCGTTCTGATGACATAATTGTTCGAATAATACAATCGTTTGACTATTAAAATGTTTCAACAATATACAGAGGAGGATTCTGCTTTAATTACACTCTCAGAGGTAATAAATTTTTTGTGAATCTCGACGTATTCGTCAGTAATTCATCGGAAAACGCATTCACTGTGACCGTAACGTTCCATATTCACGCGGTCTGAACACGTGTGAACCTAAGCCAGGCGTGGAACGTAATCCTCGACGATACGGCGGTGTTTCTTGAAGAAACGTCTGACGTCGGGTCGGGTCGGATCGGGTGAGGTCGATCGAATTCGTGAAGACACGCGAGATATACGAGGAGTCGAACAGTCTCGATCGGCTATCAGCTCAAATCGGAAACAGTCGGCCCGAGTTTCCCCGATATCCAAGATTTAATTCGGCGTGAAATTTTTTTATCCGTTATACTAATAACAGGAACGTATCATTCGTACACTTCTCATTCCGAAAAACTAAATTAATCTATTAATAATATAAATTAATTTATTACATTATTAATCTATTAATCTAATAAATTGATCTATATTAATCTATATTATATTATTAATCTATTAATAATATATATTATATTATTAATCTATTAATAATATATATTATATTATTAATCTATTAATAATTAATCTATATTATATTATATTATTAATCTATTCACAAAACTGCAAACTTATACATTTTATTAAAATTAAAATTAAAGATCATAGATATATTATTTAATTTCTCTATAAATATATCATAAATATATATTATTTATATATTATAAATATTATAAATATATTTGATTGTAAACAATCTCTATTTGATTGTAAACAAAACTAAAATAAAGATTACAAATATTTAAATTACCGGTTAAAAATCTAAGAAAATTAAATTTAAATTGCAAGTCAAAAATCTAGAAAATTTAATTTCAGTTAAAAATCTAGGAAAATTAAATTTAGGATATAGGGGAGGGGGAAGTAGCCCGGAAATATCGGACCACTATCCGACTTTTTCGAACAAGGCTAGCTGAAAAAGAAATCGGACTATCTGAACGTTTTCTGTGTCGAGACCGCCTGACGTTTCCTGACGTTTCCGACCTGGCTGCCGGATAAATTTCGAGAGCACTCGTGCGTACCTACCATTCAGAGAAAATGGACTTGGGAAGAGGAACGCGCGGTGCTTATCACCGACTGTCATAGGTCAGAGCTTTTAGTCGCTCCATATGACAGATAAGAAAAAACGTTCTCCGAGTCTGTGTCCCTATGTTCGGACTAATTCTCACTCTCCCTCGCCTCGTCTCCTAAATCAATCGACAAAAAAACGAAGAAGACGTTTATTTGGCTTTTCTCGCTGCAAATCGAAATCACGATACACGTAAGCGCCTTTGGTAGTGATTTCGACACTCGAGAATAAACTAAGGGAATAGAATCCTTTCGTTCGAGAATTATTGTCAATTTACAAGTTTTCGAATTTGAAAATTTATTCAGCTGCGTGTCACTTATGCGTTGGACAGGTACGAAAACAATCTTTTCATTTTTCTTTAGAGTGAAAATTCTTGAAAATTATATAATCCCACGCGTTATTTGCTCCAACGTCCGATAGAGAATTAGCCAAATTCGAGTGAAACACGATCAATTTTCAAACGTTGATTTTGCTCGAAGAAAACCACCAGATTTAAATAGAAAGATTTTGTCTCGGCCGAGTTTTCCCATGCAGGATTATCATCCCTCGGTGACACCCTGTAGAAAAACGAACGCTGTCAACAGATAGGAACTCATCCATCGGCTAATGGGTTTCTGGAAGCCGGACTTCCACTGCCGTGGAACGATAAACGCGAGGCGAATTTTCATTGAAAAGCAGACAGCTGCTGCACGGTGAAAGGAAGGCTCGTCCACGCGAGGAATTTCGTTTTGTCACGGTAACGGAGAGAGAGAGAGAGGGAGAGAGAGAGAGAGAGAGAGATACTCGCACCGCGACACGTAGGTCAACCGGTGAACAACTTGTGTATACATTTTCCAAGTAACGATAAGGTAAGTCACGAATCAATTATGAATCACGGCGGCGGTATTACAGAACGGGAGGGCTTTCGCAGAAGATTGCCAATCACGTAATTGTGACACGATGATTGTTCCGCTAATATCCGCGCTCGATCGCCGCGATTACGATAATGACGATGATACGTCGAATATTTAGCCAACTATCTCACGTTCCCTCGACAGATTCCATTCTGTGGCCGTTGTGTCGCGTGCGGATACGATAATTGAAGCCGTTTGCAAATCGAATGTGCCACGTACTGCAACGACAACTAATGTGTTTCACGTTTCGACGCGAACACGTTGAAAACGTTGGTATGAAAAGAAAAGAAAAAAAGAAGAAGAAGAGGAGATAAGTTAATGTTAAACAGTGATAAGCGCCGGCGGTGTTCGCGTCGAACGAAATGGAAATACATATATGCGACACAAAAGTTTCGAGCGATAGAATATTGGACGTGTATGAGCTATAATGAACATTTAAATACGCCACAAATAAATGTGATATATATAATTAATGTATTCGTTGGAAAATTTCGAGTGTAAATATCTGATTTGCGAGAGAAATGTTGAATACAAAAGTTTTCGCGATTATTTCTTGTTTTTGTTAAAAGTTGGCCGTCTTAAACGAGGGGAAAGCAAGAAGATTTTGCACGAGCTCTTTTAAAACTGATATTTAATAAAAATGAAAACTGATTCGCTGCTACTACGGAAATATTAATTAATGAATATATTATAAATAGACTGCGTATATTTATAATATTCTAAATTTGAATATAAGGATAATAATAAAAACAATAGGAACATACCTAAATGGAAAATTGTCTCTTTTACATAAAATTGTGATTAATACTCTTCGTTTGAATATTTTACACGTTTCTGCATGCGTGTGTACTTTTGCGCCTTCGAACTTTTCACAAAATACACAAAAATCCGCAGTCTAATTATAACTTGAGTGATAAGTGTAACGAAACTGAATTATACGTGAACTGATAATATGAATTTAAATTGCGCGAAAAATTTTTCTATTTTAAATAGAAGTCGATCGATTAATTTTTTTGTGAAAACAAAAACCCCACGTTTTCAGCAATCAGCGGGAGCAAAAATGTTCCATTTCACTCAGTTCTGGAATTAAATGGTGCAATTTAAGTTGCGAGGCATTTGTAGGATATCTTTGACAGGATGTTAGAAATCAGGTTCGTGTAACTGTCGTCCGTAAAAAAAACGCAATTTTTAAACGACGTTCCGGTCCAGATACGTTTTAATAACGCGCCGGAAATGTTCGCGATAAGATCGGACGTGCTTCCTGGCCACGCACGTATTTCCGTTCAATAAAATTATCTGCTGCCGCGGCCAGCGCGATATCGTGCATTAAACGACGAGTTCTTTGAACGATATTGTGCCACGGTAATGATTTTTAAATACACGACCATTATTAATTCTGTTCGTCTAATCTGTATAAACATTTCCTTTAAAACAAATACACGCTTTTCAATTTCACAGTTATTAAAAGCACAAGTGCGTGTGTTCTTTTTAATTAACATGAAATACGAACATTTCATCGCATTGTGTTCGGTCTGACAGTACAATACGTCAAACCAACTTTCTATTCGAATTTGATACATCGTTGTTATTCTCTAATGTCGAGAATATAC